GACTCATCTACAGATAGCTACCAGATATATCTATATGTGAGAATTAGACAAAACAAAGCTGAGAGAAACCTTCATACAATCTTGACTGTGCACAATAAAGATAACATTCAGACAAAATGCAGAGAAATGAGGCTTAAATTCCTTTCATTTTTTAATAATGCCAGGGAAAAATCAATAATTCAAAGTGGACTAAACTAACCCACCTTTCTCTCTGGCGATCTTAGCATAGATCCCCACTGCTGTAAGTATGGCACTCACAACCTGCAAAGTCGCAGAGAAACGCAGATTTCATTAAAACAGAGGAACAGCTGTAACTAGCTCTACTGTCACTGGAATTAACATCATTTTCATTTCTGTGACTGTGGCTTAGCCTGGATGAGACGAAGCCCACTTGGACATGACGACATGAACACCTAGATTTGCATCCTGATTGGGTCTTATCAGTCCCACAAATTAGACCAGAGCAGTTCAACTGACATATTGTTTTCACATTGTTGTGGCTTCTGCTGGCGATGGATGTCACACTCGCAGTGCCTCCCGAGTATGCCACCATGTTTACTTTGAAACAGGCCCCAGTCCAAAGTTTCCCCTGCTTTACGTTCCATCTCACTATCGGTCCAAGAAGACACATTTCTGCTCTTACTTTCTGCTATTGTTCTTCCTCTGCAGTATTTTCTATTGCTTCCTGTTTACCAGCACATACATGCCGTTTTGTGTATGGTGAGAATGTAAGTATAAATGGAGATTATCTCTGACACTGTTCTAAAAATACTTGACAGAACAGAGATGGTTTTATTGGAAAACATCGTCTTAAATATAAAGTGTATCAGTGTGGTTGTTATCCTGGCCCTTCACACAGCCCCTCACTTCATCCTCTCTGTGAAACAACCCGTTTTGGCCTCCTCTCCCTAAGAGCCCACTTTCATTTTGATTGGCCAGCTTCTGGAAGCCTGCCCGGGAGCAAGCTACAGCTTCTAGGGCTGAAAAACGAAGCCATTGTGGAAGCATCAAAACCTGCAGTTCCTCTAAAGGCCACTT